AGACTTTTTTACAATTTTAAGGGCACTAATAAGGTTTTAGTTAACATACCTAGAAAAATATGAATTTTAGAGTTTTATTTTGTGCCGTCCGAATTATTAAAAAGGTTCGTACGAAACTTCTAGTAACAATTAGAACTCAAATATCAAATTTCAAGAAATTCCGTCAAATTGTTCCATAGATATAGCACAAAATGTAAAATCGGAAAACCCCAGATCAGTATCCGAACCCTGAGCTTTCCAAAAAAACTTACAGATTCAATGTTTTAGCACCGTGAATTTAAATATCAAATTTCAATGAAATCGGTTGATTATTTCTCTTTATATACGCAAAAATGTATATATGGCAGGTAGTAAACGTCTTGTTGCCGGCACCTGATTTCTTACAAAAGTTAGGAGGTTTCGCGTACAGGTGAATGAAGCTTATATGTATATAAAGTTTCAAGTAAATGTGTTGAATGTTTTCTTTAAAATGATAAAAAATGTACAACAGGCTGGCTAAAAAGGCCAGTTCCCAAAGCCTAATATAACCCAAAAGTTGATCAATCCGTGCCATAGTCGAAGTAAACTTACATATAAAATTTCATCAAAATCGGTTTAGCCAAACTTGATATACCCGTGCACACACAGACCGACAAACCGATAGGTTGATAAAAAAGTTTATTTACACACTTCTACGACGCAGAAGTGCGTCCCCACAGAAAACTCGACATGCAAATTTGTTGCCATAACATAACCTACCTTATTGTATACACAATTGTAAAAATCAAACTTTATAAGACAAAAGCAAAAATATTTTCAAAATACATACATAGAATACATGAATAGATATTTATGTACTTATTCAAATAAAATGTGCTATGTTACTATGTTAGTAATATTACCTAACTTAATTTTATTTCAGCTCGATGTTTTTCAAAGAGTGTCGTTTGTTAACAATAATTTGTTTCTTTCTTGCCTACACAACTTTTGTTATCTATTTCTAAATAAAAATGGAATATTTTAAGAATTTCGAAGTGGCAAGCAAACGAAAACTAAAGGAATGGAATCAGTTGATCTTCTTCTTATATAGACATACTTTATTTTTTACAACCATATTATAAATACATTAAGTTTCAGTTTACGTTGAATTTTAAAATATTTCATATATATAATTTACATGGTGTCAATTGATATAAAAATATTAACTTTTACACCTAAAATATCTTTAATTTCCTAGAAATGTGGTCAAAAACATTTGATTCTTTGACGAATAAAAAATTAAAACATAACTATTGATATTATCTAAAGTTGATCGTTTAGGATTCATTTAAGATTGTAACTTTTCACCGATATTTATGACATTATTTTAAAAATCTAATCAAGATTAAAGTTTTGGAAACGAAATAACAATATTTTTGTTAAAGTATTTAAAATCAATAGCCTTTCTAGTAGAATAGTCTTTCTTGTTCCTAATAATAAAGGATATTTACCTTTTGTAATAATGTAATAAGAGATCAATAATGCGTTTTCCACTTTCAGTTGATTGATCGCTACGGTACTTGAAAGTAAAAACAAATAATCGCACTAGTTTTTATCAAAACGATATTCCAAAATTTTAAGAAATTTAAAATCTTGACAATTAAGATGTTTTGCTTTTGAAATTTATTTCAGTAATTAAGATAAAGGTTTGAAATAATTGAATTCTGATCGTTTTTATACTATAAGTATATTTTATCGTTACACGATTTATTGTTATTACTAAAAATGACTATTCTTTCAGAAGAAAATATATACTTATTACACTATATTCATTTTAAAATATAAGAACGAAGATATTTTAGTAATAAAATCTTGTAATGATACTACTTATTTTTTTACGTTTTTAATTTTTTGCTTCAAAAGATTTATCAGGCCAGAGCAATTTTATTACTATAGTTAGCAAATCGGTAATGATTTACTAAACCAAAATTAGAACTACAAATTCAGAGATGGTAATTGCATTTATCTAATGGCAGCAGATGCAAGAGAATCTCTGAGTAAGGGACCGCAGAACTTTCCTAATACATACAAAGCTATAGTTTGAGTTTTGTCTTGATGAAACTGCCTGACATTATGTTTCTGATCAGGACAATCAGGGAGCCATGAGCAAATAAAGTATTTTCAATGCAGTGTGTCAACGTAATTCCTCTTTTGAAGTTCATTTGCCAGCTGGGCAACTCCTGGGCCAGCACTGGGTCACTTGACAAAACCATTCTAAGCCTTGAGCCTTCAGCAACCCCTTCCACAAAACTCCTTTCAGGGAGATCTCTGCGTCCTCCTCAGTTGGCTCTTATATTTCCTGAGGTCATTCTAGTATGCCACCCAATCAGATGATGCTCTTAACTGAGTTTGCGGACACGCCCCCTTTGAGGTACCACTAACGGCCCTGTCAAGCATGTAGACTATGTTGCCCAGATCTCCAGTCGTTTTACGACGAGAGGGGATCTAACGTCCTAAGAGATCGTTTAGCGAAACTTTGAACTTTGCAATCAGTCCTTTTCCGGTTTCTGAGAAGGGAATCATCTTCTGACATTTTCCAATTCATAACCAAACTAGCGTAAACGTTCGAGGCAAAGGTTATATCTGTTATATCTTGCCGATTTTTAGTAATAAACGTGGGCTTTGAGCCTCTATTACATAATGTAAGGTTAGTACTCAAAATAAATTCTAAAAGTGATTCATCTCTCATATTAGTGTGCAAGCTTCTTCAGATCATGAGATGTGCATTGGCATTACTCCCAAAAATTATTCTTCTCCACCAAGTCTTTCAAATTATCGGGAGGAAGCACCCTCTGGAAGTCGAAGGGTGCTGCAAGTTGGGTGTACTGATGCCCACCAAGTGATTATGCCGCCAGATTCGAAATTAACTGCAATCAAATCTTCAATGCTATAAAGAAGTAATAGGAAACAAGTATTCATGATCTTACTTTTCCGCTGCTGTCGCTATATAACAATTTGCATCCTGCAGTTCCCAGCCCACAGATCTCCTTCTCCCTGCTAGGAGAGAAGGAGCGCAGCCGAAACTGCTTTAGAGTGGAGGAGTTGATCTGAGTTATAATTAGCATTGTTGCTTTTGCTAACCTTCATTAGTGGCTTTTCTGTATCTTCGTCCTGGTACAAGTTCAGCAAGCTCCTCTATAGATCCAGATGCATTACGTTTATCATCTGTCAGTTCCGCTCCATCCCGCATTTCTGCTTTTGACGACTGGACGACTCCTTCAAAGCTCTTTTGGCAACGCTGACGATCGATGTTTTCTGTCTCTATCACCTTCGTATCAGTTTTATAGACCTTAAGTGTTATAGAGTTCGTCTTTACCTATAAGTAAGTCAATTCAATTCAATTGGCTGTTGCAAGTTGGATTTGTCCAATCTGACCATCTCCAGGATGATGTGAGAGTTCGAAGACTTAGCTGAGATCCAAGTGCGAGCTCACGATTTGAAAAATCTGGTGCTGGTACGAGGGTAATGGGCCTGAATTCTTCTTAATAGTTTGATTATTTTTGATTATGTACGTGATGAATGTACATATTGAAATATTTTAGTATAAAATTTGGTGTCAAAATAATACCTCTCTTGGTGTACACAATGTGGTTAAGCCGGTAGAAACCATAACATATGGTTATAAATTATTAATTTTATTAAAATTTCTTCACTAACAATATTTGTAAGTGAGTCAATAGAAAATACATATACATATATACATATGGAATAAAGGAGGATCTAAAATGTTTTAGGATAAAGAAATTTAGAGTTTTTTTTAACTCTACTGTATGGCGCATTTCAATGTGTAGAGAGGGTAATTTAGAGTTGAGTATTAGAAAGCGCATCTGTTTATTTTTATTCTTTATAATTTTGATAGCTTGAAATAAGTGAAATTGATAGTAAAATGAATAAAATATAACAAGATATTCTTCGAAGGAAGATTGGCACGCGTACGTACGTGCAAAAGATGCAAAATATTTGTACAATTTCTGACGAATATAAAAATAACGTATATACATCAAATATGAGCAAAAGACTTATTCATATCTTTCTGTTAGGGATAGGTTTCAATCCTGAGTTACATTTCAAATCTATATGATTTGCGATTCATTTCAAAAATTTTAATCATATTTTGAAAATATGTATTTTATTCTGAAACCCCTATGGGTGAAAACAGTTTCTCGGCTTATTATTTTTTGCATGTACATAACTATTTATTTTCTCTTAATTAAAAGTTTTGTGTAAATATATGAAACCTGTGGTTCATTTTATTTAATAAAATATAACTTTAAAAATTGCAATGCAAACGTAACAAAACCTAATAGAATGTAGACGTCAGAATTATTAAAGCCTTCTTTTGATAAAAAATGGACTTTTAATCCATCAATTAAAATGATTTTTTTTAAAATAATGTATGTAGGTACTTTAGAGTTAGAAATAACAGCGATAACACACAATTTTATTACTTAATAAAGTTTAATGTATAGTTTTTGACATTATAGAAACATTGCTCCGCAAAAAATTTTAAATAGTGTATATTGCAAGATTTAAGATAAGGTTTAATAATGAAGCAATAATATGATGACAAATAAATGTGAAAAAGCATAAGCATAAGTCAAAAAGACGTAAAATGACAAACAAAGTCATGAAACTACTATACATCGACACTATTTCCTTGATAAAAGGCAGCCAATACTAAGCTTTGAAGCAATAACAATTATAAGTTATTGCTCTGTTACTTAGTGAATAAAGTTTTAAGCGTAATGGGAGTTTTAAAGCAATTTACAGTCTTATTATATAAGTGTATTTTTTGTACTGTTATACCGCAACTAAACTTAACTATTAATAAATATTTTTAATTTAAAATGACATTGGAGCAATTTGTTATCTCTTAATGGAGCTTATCATTCTCATTTTACTTATCGTGTATAATTCTCTAGTTGTGGCACCCCATATAAAAGAAAAATATTGTACGTTTACTACTGTTCTCATTGTGCATGCAGACGATTTCATTGTGCTTATATACCGAATAAAAATGAAGTTGGGTTGGATCGTTTGTATCAGTTTTTTTATAGCATGTGTAAGATATCAGCATCTTTTTTTTGAACAAATCAATTTTAAATGTATAATATTTTAGGTAAAGGGAGAAATTTCATATGTTTCCCAAAATTCACTTCAACCAGTTACCGTTTTTGATCCAATCAGAAATATAGTAGAAGATGCTGTTAAATATACAAAAGAACTCCTCGAATATATTTCATCAAAAGAAAAAGAAATTTTGAGGAAAGCTAAAACTGTTGCCGATTCCAAATTCAAGGAGAGTTTAAAAAAAATTTTTGACTTAATAAGAAAAATTAAAGATCTCTCAAAAATTGGTATTGTAGCGGATGTTTGCGTTCAACGCTATTCCAAGCAGATTGAAGAGATTAGAGATCAAATTAACTCTGAAATAGAGAAATGTTCAGATCTGTTTAAGGAGGGGATGATACCAGTTGAAAGAGAAATTTGGCAAACTTATATGTTATTATACAAAATTATTCGAGAAATGTATGATGTGGTAGAAACATGCATATTTGAAAATGGAAACAACAAAATCAAGCAAACAATGTGTGTAATAAAAAAAATTAACTTTTTCAAAGATCAGGTAAATGAGGCCTGTAAATTGGTATTATCAAGTCTTGAACGGCTGGAAGAAATATTATCTAAAGTTTTACAAGATTATGCGCAATGCATAGCAAATGTTGAAATGAATAGTTTACGAAATTTAAGAGACATTATGTACAATATAAAGAATTGTATTAAAGAAAATGTAAATTGAATTTTTTAAGTTTACATTAAAACTAATTGGTATATACGAGTAGTATAGTAAATTTGTAAAAATTTTAAATTTGAGGTTTCAAAATTTTGTGGTAAAATCCGAAAATTTGCTGATAACAAAACATCAATGGATAGATCGACTTACAAAAAAATAGCTTATTTTTTAAATAACTTTTTTTTTTAGACATAAATATTGTCACAGTTGGATACTCTTCCGAGTCTTATTCCTGAAGAAAACTCAATTCAAAAATGTAAAATGAAAAGAATGATGTGCACGGCCTATTAGCATATTTTTCACAACCTTGTCATAGATAAGTAATGATAAAGATATATATGCATGTTTGTTTAGAAAATGTCAAAAAATATTTTCTGTCATTATATATTCTATCATAAAAATTTGTTCTTTGTATGTTTAACAGCAATTAAAACAAAATCGAAAGTTTTTATCGAAAAACTTTAATCAAGAGAGAAAAATATTGTTATGCAAATGCAAAAAATAATAACGAATTATAATATTTGCGAATAGTTTATGAACATGTGTAACTTTTATTTAAGATTTGTTATCTATGGTTAGAGATCCGCCAACTTTATGTTTTACTAACTCTAAGGTTAAATGAGAAACATAAATAACAGTGCTGCATATTTTGAATTGTGATTAAAAGTCCCTATATTGTGAACCATGAAGAGTTTGCGTTCGCAGCAGTAGAACTAAAAATGTTATCAGCAGTTCAATAATTGAAAAGAACAAGAAAATATGATCGTTAAGATATACGATAAAGCAACTATAGTAACAAAATTAATATTATTTAAGGTTCTCACAGAAAAGCAGGGATTTTTAATGGTTATCTGCGGAATCACCTGAATAAAGAGTATCTATAAAACACGGAGCTTATTTTAAAAAGTCGAATATAAAAATTAGTTATAGGAAAAGAATTTGGCCGTGATATAAATTTGTTTTTTTTTTCTTTAATTTTCTAAACATTTATTTTTGTATAAAATTATTACCTGCTATAATAACGCAATATTTTACATAATAATACTGATGCGCTATGATTTGATAATTTGATATTGTACATTTTTTTTAAACACAGTAAATAAGAAGAACTTACTTTTTGTTGTATGATAAATGTGTCAATCAGCCCAAGGGTAGCGCCCCTTTAAAATATTCCTATTCAATTCAATAAAATTGTAATGTGAAAAGATTTATATATATATATATATAAATACATAAATATATATATTGAGGTTGACGTATTTTAAATCAATCAAATTGTGAAAATTCATATAACATAAGAACAAGGAACTTTAATTTTAAAGTATCCTTAAATAAATTTCTTTTTTGTACGAAAATGTTATAAATCTATGGGGCGGGTGTTAAACGTTTTCTTTTATTTAAAGAATTAAACGGAATTTAAATTGATCCTAGTTTTAGTTTTTACAAACTATTATAGGGTACTATAATATAGGAAAAAATTATTCAAAAAAATTTTAAATTATAAAAGGAATACAATTTGTTAAAAAAAAATATTTTTTAATATCGAATGCAAAAATTGAAATAATTATTAACCCCTTAAACACTCCCATGCTAAAAATGCGCTCCATTTTAATTAAAAAAAAGGAAGCAAAAACAAAATTTTCATTTTGAAATTGTACACATAACGTGAAAAATAAACGATATTTCAAAAAAATAACATTCTTTCATTAATTAAGCTAATGATTTCTTTTTTTATAGTGAAAAATTTTTGAGAAATACAAAGGGACCGCAATTTTTTTTAAAACTACAAATAATATGATATGAAAGTAACTAATTATATATTCTTGTTGAGTGAAAGAACAATTCAAATATACCTTGTTCTTTTTGAAAGTTAAAAAAGTTGTATGTACATATGTAGAACTAATTCGCTAAAGTACAGTAAAATATCAGGAAGGCACCAACAGAGTAGTTTCGCTAATGATTATCTTGTTTCTGCCTCGTTTTTCTCACTTTAGCTTTGGCAAGTACGCTTACATTAACATTTTCTCTAAATATCAATTCAATTTTTTTCTTCGCTAATTTGCACCAATTTCTAAAGATATCTTCAACTTTTTCAAATTTGCTTTTCTTTAAAACTTAATTAACATGAAACTCATTTAAATAGTCGCACTTATTTTTTTTCAGTAAATTTTATACTTACATAGGTATTTTCACAGGGACTTACACAAACTCTCCACAGGCTGTGAGACATCTACATAAAAATTTAAACCTATCACAAAATTCATAAATTTTTCTGCACAACTCAACTAAATAGAACTGCGTCGAAGTTCCTTATAGATATACTTTGCCAGTAACTAAATATAATAATTTAATAAACAATAACTTAATAAACAAAAACAGTACAATAATTTGCATATGAATGAGAATGAATGGCGGCAGAAAAAAAAGAACAGAAATAATTTTCGCTCAAATAATTATCGTCAATCCATAAGACGACTATATTGTAATACTAAATTTTTCTTATTCATTAAATGCAAAATTTATTTCTACTATCAAAACATCGGGCATTAAAGTCTATAGGTCAAGTATGTGAATTATTTTATGTTTTTTTGCAATAAATGTAATAAAAAAAACACAAAGCGCTCTATGAGTTTTAATGTAAAATATTTAAAAACTATAATGGTTTCATCCGCAAATGAATTGAAGTAATACCGTATTTTTAATAAATTGTACTTAATCCGCCAATCGCACACGTTTACTAAACAACATGTAATATGATCAAAAGTAACTCACTTTTAAACGCAAATAGCTTTTAGCTACTTTTATTTTTATTCTTTATTGCTTCCTTATGAAATATAATATATAAAAAAAATTTTTATATTTTTAATATCTGTTTTCTGCAATACATTGTTGAACTTTTTGCATAATTTCTGTCAACTCAGGCATAACCTCTTGTTGTGCTGCGAGTGTGCATTGCTGTGCTTCTTCAACAATAACAGGTATCTTTTCTTGTGCGCTATTAATTGTTGCTTCGATAGATTCATAAGCAGCTTTAATTTGATCTCTGATATAAAAGATTTTTTTGACCATGCACCAAACTTTAGCTAAAATGTTTTCTTCATCTAAGCACTCATTAATAACGTTATATAAATCTTGTGCATATCCTTGAATTTCGCCAACAGTTTCCATAACTTCGGCTTGAATAACTTCCAATTCTTTCATGGCGATAGCTTGACATTCAGCGACACCGGCATTCAATCTATTAACAATATCTTCTAGACGATCTTTATGCAAATTAACACAAACTTTGGCAACAATGCCAGTATTGGCCAGATCAGCAATTCTTTTAACGAAATCTATTACTTTCCTTACAGCTTCGGCGATCTTTGGGTTGATACCATTTTTAATTTTTTCAGCTAATTCCTTCAGTTTGCTTAAAATATTTTGAATGGCTTCTTGTGCATATTGCTTAACTTTTTCCAATAAGTCTTTTATATTGTCAAGAACTTCTCCTTGCGGAATAGCAGCTTCAAGCGCTGTATATTCAAATTGTTGTGTGTTTGCCTAAATATTTAAGAAACGGAATGAATTCCTTGTTAGAAAAATTTGTATATCTTTGTTAATTTGAAAAATTTTTAAATGTTCAGTTCAACTTACAGCAACAGCACACAAACCAAGAATTACGATGAGTGAAAATTTCATTATGTGTTTTTATTATGGATGGTGTGTGCGTGGTGATATCAAATATTAGTTTTATACTTGAATAAGTTGGAATTGTGGTTTGAAACAGCTTTTATAGAAAATTTTATCACAAAATTTATATCAATTGCTGATTAAATGCTTTAGCTGATGTAAAAACCTTTCTAAATCCCTGTATGATAAGAAATTTCGCATTTAATCTAATCAATTAAATTAGGCTTTAGAAATTACTTACTATCGAAACACAAAGATTTATCCAAGTAAACAAAAACTTTTTAATAGTACTACATTCACGACGTTTTTATTGGTTTAATTTAAAACATATTGAAATGTTTATTAATACTCGTGTTGTAAACTTATTAATCACCAAATATTCATAAATAATTGAAATTATAATAACGATGTTCGTTGCAGGCGCAAAAAAATTTTTTTATATATGTATGGATATGTGGATATGGTACAAGCATTTAGTATAGCAAAAAAAAACGTCATTTTAGCCAACAAACGTAGTTATCACTTAGTATAACTAAAATCATCATAATTTTATAGATGGAACGACAAAGGAAAAATTTGATTGGTATATTATGCCAATTATGGTTTTTCATTTTCTAATATTTTCTCTATTCTATTCTAGTGATAATATATGTACATCTATTATGTATGTACATACACATATTCTTTTCAAACAACAAAGGCCTAGTTTGATTTTTTTTATTTTGCCCGTTCGTGTTCGTTCTCGTTTCTCATGTACTCATTTCTGCTTGCACCAATTATTGAAGGTCACTTAAATGAAAATACAATTCAGCCCATTAAAATTAAACGGCTGAATGGCATTTTTTTGGGAAGTGACCGTCAATAAATAAAAAGAATTTTCTTCTTTTCAGAAAAAACAGAAGTACATACATATAGATATAACTATAAATATTTTAAAGAACAGGAAAAGTGTGCAATTTAAAAATATAATTGCTTAATAAATTAATTCTTGCTTAATAAATCATAATTACTTTCTTTTATTATTTACAATAACTTCAATTTTCGATTAATTTCACCGGTTTGTAAAAAGTGAAATAAAAAAACTGTATTAGAAAGAAGATCCTTGACGCTCTAATTATAAGCAAAATGTTTTTTCATTTAAGTATGCCATAACGAAACTTTTCAATGAGCTGCGCAGTCGTGTGCAATATTCTAGTGCCTATTTAATAAAAAAAACAGTTATCTACGAATGCGAATTTTGTATTTTTTATACCCATATGAACGTATGTTCGAAAGGTATACTAAATTTGCCTTACCATTTGTAACGCTAAGAAGTAATGGTCTGAGATAAAGACTCAAGTGTATGTTTTTGATCAGCGTCGAATTCTGAGTCGATTAGCTTTGTCTGTCTGCTCGTCCGTCAGTCCCACCGATAACTCAAAAACTAATGGCGCTAAGTTCACCAAATTTTCACAAAAGATTCATTGTAGTAAGTACCAGAACTCAATTTAAATTGGACATGATCGGGATACTGCTTCGAATAGCTGCCATGCAACTTCAAAATTTATTTGGCTATATTTTAGAAACTATGAAAGTTGTGGTATTGAAATTCCGTACAAGTAAATATATTAGTTTTGATTGTTTTTGTTTGACAAAGTGTTTGATAAGAGTTGTTGAAATTGCTTGACTCCTTCTGGTAGCTACCATACAACTTCAAAAGTTATTTGGCTATATCTCGGAAACTGTAAAAGCCGTGATATTAAAATTTCACACGGGAGAATATATTAGTAGGGTCAATGTGTTTGATAAATGTAGTTGAAATTGCTTGGCTCTTTCTGGTAGCTTCCATTGAACTTGTTTGCTATAGAATAAATATTGAAAACACAGTACTTTACATATAATACGACATATACATAAGTATGTATGGCATATTCATTCCCATATCAGATAACAAATTTGTACGAATATCACAGAGTTCACACGGTCAACCCTATTTTTTCTCGTTTTTATTTAATTTTGGTTTTAATGAATTGTGTACGCTTAGTACTCATGATCATTTTTTATTTTTGTAAAAGTTACCTACACACGAGTATATATGTAATAAATTTATGTTTTCTATGTGAACATCCTGTTCGGTGTTCGACTTTCTCTTAAAAATAGATGCAAATAACTAAAAGCTCTGAAAGATTTATTAAATTATAGTTATTGTAAACTAAGAATTGTTTTATAACGTGAAATATAATTGAGTTGGGTATAAGAACTGTACAAAAGTATATAGAGCACTGTTATGCATTATTGGGAATTAGATTATGTTATGCATTTTGGGAATCATAATCAGGGTTGGGAATCATAAAAAAAAGTACGTTTTAAGTTTAAAGATTTAATATATACATATACACACATTCTTTAGTAAAGACATAATTAAAAAAAGTACGTTTTAAGTTTAAAGATTTAATATATACATATACACACATTTTTTAGTAAAGACATAATTAAAATTAACATCTTTTACAAAATTTTATTTCATTTTCGCAAATTCAGCGAATTGTCTTCAACATAATTAAAAATTATTTACAAAGATAATATATACATATATATAATATCAAAAATTTGTCTTTATAAGCGTTCCATAAATCAAAACTACAACAATTCGATTAATTTTTTAAGAATTAAATTAATTGGCATTATCTAGCCTCCTATTTTAAACAACATTTACAAATTAAACTGGGATTCGATGAAGACTTCACAACTGGTAAAATATTTCGTAATATAAATATTCTCTTATTTTATTATATTTATTAAATTATAGTTATTTAATTGACTAAGAATTGTTTTATAACGTTAAGAGCTGTGCAAAAGTTCATAGAGCGCTGTTATATACGTTTGAGCCATTTGAAGTGTTTCATGCTTGGAAAGTTGTCTATCATTGCCTAGTGATGGTAAATATTGCCGCAATCTATCGAAGGCTTGATTTAAATTTTGCATACGTCGACGTTCTCTTGCATTTGCTGCTAATCTACGTTTTTTCTTTACAACTGGTGAAATTTGTTTACCGCGTTTTCTTTTAGAGTTACTATTACTTAAGGTAACTGTTTGTATTACAGTTGTCGGTATGTTGGCATCGTTCGAGTGTTCAAATGACGAACTTTCTGCGAGGTTACTTTCAATATACTCTTCATCATTTAAAAAGTCCATATCATTATTATCACAGCTTTCGTCAAAAAATGCTTCATCAGCGAAATCAAAAGAACTAAAATCTGCATTATTTATTACATTACTTTCATTAGAAAGATTATCACTATTTGAAATGACTCCACTTTCACTGGTAGTGACTTTTTCTACTTTGATCACATCCGAATCACAAGGCAGTGATGTTACACTACTTTTCCTTTTTTTTGTGTTTATACGTTTTTTTGGTAAGACTGTAACAGAAGTTACGTTTTTACAAAATGCAGAAGAAGTGTTTGAAAGTGCTGGACAACTCGTTGTATTATATTGGAATTGTGTTTGATGCTGTTCTATATTTGAATTGAAGTGCAATGTACCTGTGCTTTGATTTATTCCATTAGATATTGGTACAATTTGGTTCATGTCCGTGAATTCAGGGCTTGATGAGCGATAGCTTGCTGGAGATGGTGTATTCCAGCCATCTGAATATGAACCTACACAGTCAATGAAATGAGCAGGCCCTTGAACGTTGAAAGGGTTCGTAATATGTTGGCTATGAATTTCAGTGTTATTAATTAATCCAAAAGTTCCGCCATTAACTTCATTTGTATAAAAGATTTCGTCATATTTTGGTTCACTCTTTAAAACCGTTAAATTCGAATTATAGTAATACCGGTACATTTCTTTTTTTATTTTTCTGTTTTTTATTTTTTGTATAAATTCGAATATACTTCTTCATTAATTTTTTTAATGAAGTGTTATCCTTGCGATAAGCGAATATTTTCTAACTAAAATCGTACGATTTACGATTACTTTTATAGGTAACAGAGAATAATATCCCCTCTACATTACATAAGCACGTGCCTTTTAACCAATCAATATAAGCGCCAACCTAAGAAGCCTGTGTATGTGTTGTTCTTTTGGGTTGGGTAAATTTTGCGTTTGTGTATGTTGCAGTACAAATGAGAGCAGGAGATTTTTATTCTCAACTTTTTTATATGCACTTTATCCTTTAGTATTTTATGAACACACAATACACATACAAAAAGATGTAAGAACAGAGTATTTCAAGTTTTTTTACCTGTATTAAAAGAATTGTTTTAATGTAGCTGGGAAAATTATAAATATTTTTTTTCCATGAAAAAAAAAAGTTTTATTAGTTTTATATTTTTTTGTGTTTTTGATTCGGAACAGGTAAAAAATATTTGGTAGCGGTCTTATTTCAGGTACTGTTACAAATTTAATGTATTGGAAGTTGTTGAAATTCGACATTGTGAGGTTCAAAATAACTAATCGGCAACACTAAAGAGTTGTAAACATTAAAGAGTAAAAAAAAACAAAAGTGTATGTAAGAATGCATGTCTTAATATTAATAATATAATAAAGTATTATTCTACATTTTGTTTGTAACATTTAACTCTGAACGCTGTTTTTGTATAATCAGTAGTAAATTGCAATTTTTCATTTGTAAATATGCCACTAATATTTCACGGAGTTTGCTGCAAAATTATTGCGAAAACTCTTAATTTCATTTTATTTAGAATTTAACATTTTTAATGTCAATTTTTTTACCTGGCTGTCGATACATAACTCTTATTTATATAATCTTCGTTAACTTTTAATTAAAAGTATTTATATAATAGTGTGTCTGTATAAAACCGTCCATTTTAATTTAAAAATATCAAGAAAGTATTTATTACAGGGTCAGCTATCGTATGTTACAAAGGACAACATCAAAACTTTGTTTATTATGCGCTAAATTTTTATTGCTCTTACAGTTCAAGGTGTCAAAGAGGTATACAGATATACAATATAATTACAGTTTTCAAATGTGAATTTTACCACTTTTCACATTTCGGGTTTACCGAATTGTAAAAAAGGTCATAGTTTAAAATTCTTTTATTACTTTATCATACCATGAAAATGGCAATTTTCACAATAAGGACAATACTATAATAGTTAAAATATGTATTAAAAATTCCCGACAATAATTATTTAAAAAATATATTATTTACATCGATTTACATATGGATTTTAAATTCTGACAAATATAAAAAAATAATATAATCATTTGAGGAAAATGTAGTTTTTGTTAAATATACGTAAAACCCTCGTATTCTGAAATTTTACATATACATAAATATTTAACTTCGTAGCGAATTTGCATGCATGTATTTTAAAGAAAAAAAAAATATAAAATTAAAAAAAAATTGCATATAAAGGTACCAAAATTCAGATCAAGCTTAATTACATACATTATGTACATATATAAAAAAATGTACACAAAAAAATATTTGAAATTGAAATATTACCAACAAACTATTGCACTTTAATTGTTGTCATAAAACTTTAAAGTAAAATTCATTGGAGTTTTTTCATATGTCGCGAACTTATTTAATACAAAAGTAAGTTATAATTTTAGTATGTAAGTGTATATAGTGCTTAGTATATAAATTATCTTAAAAACGTTTTTATATTATATGTATGTCATTATTCAAATAAAACTACACACGCCTGTTAAAGAACATATAATCTTAAAAGAATCTCTCAATGAAGAATTTCTCTAATTTTAATTCTAACAAGAACTATTTACGTTACGAAATGACTAATGTGTAAATTGCAATGTGAAACCTTGATTTGAAAATTGTATTAATGCTGTATTAATAAATAATTTTGCTTACAATCTAATAATGAAGTCATGGATTGTATAAAGCAAAACGTATTTGCGTTTACATATTCCTCAAAACGTTTAAAGAATATTAATAATTTACATATTGCTTAATTCTTTAAATGATTCTTAATATTATTTCAATGTTTTTATGAAATTTAGAAATTTATCCCGTGTTACATTAATGCAAATTAAATAAATTTACTTTAAATAGAACATTCCTATATCCTTCCTGTGTAGATATAACTTATCCCTATTTAATAATCCGTTCATTAAACGCAAGATGAATATAATCAATTATTCTGTCATTATCAACATTCTTTTCAAGTAATTTCTGTTTTAGTATTGCGACCTAAATTAACTTAAAATTTCCCTATTCTAAAGGTTTTCATTTTGTACCCATAGATACGAGTATTCCTTTAAAATGAGCAACTCGAAAACGTGTAAATGACATATGTATGTACATCCATCTAAATATAGAAAACGAAATTTCAATATAAAATAACAAATTACCTATGATATACAATAAACATAGCTTACTTAATTGCAAAAAGAGACTACAGTATAAAGAGTCCATTCTCAATATGAGTTTACATTTTTGTTTATAAGTATAATTGTAATAATTAAAGTGACCCTCGACACAATCAAAATGATCTTTTGTTGAGCGCACACTTTTTTCTCTGTGAAAATAAAAAAAATTCTAGGAAATATTTTGGATTTGGGAATCCAGTATCGTAATTTTTTGAAGAAGTATCGTTATTTTAGTATCATCCACACTCTCCATAAAATCGAAAAGTAATCTGCCAACATAATAAATTATAGGTTTGCAAATTTCGATCCAATTTTATTAATTTTATTTGAAAAAAAGAAAAAGTACTAAAAACAATACAAAAATCTGGCAAAGGGTGATTATGAAATAAACACAACAAAACTTAAGCGTTTTAAATATCACAATATTTGTTTGTTGCAACCTAAATATATGTTAAACCACGATATTAAAGAGGAAATAGGGAATTAAATTTTCTGTACGGTAATTTGAATACGATTTTGGAATTTTAATTTTGAGCTATTGTATTTTACTTTTTTTATAAAGGTTCATTATTTTGTCTTTTAATTTTGAATAGTAACTATAATTCGCGAACATCAGTTTGATTTTTATTTAAATTTTTCAAAACATTATGGGTTTTAAAAGTAATTATTACTTTGTTCTGGCGTTTTAGTAGTTTATTTATTTGAAATTCGAAATGATATATCTTTAAAAATAAGATTTTATGAAAGTAAATCAGATATAAATGTTATAATAAGAGAGTGGAAAAAAGATTAGGTATAATTTATTTACAATATACACTTACATGCACTTTTTAGCACTTTTCCAAAAAAAATTTTGATAAAAAGTGCTTATTAGTTTCACTTTACCCGTCCGTCCGTCTATTCGTAGGCGTGTTTATAAAACTTTTACACCCTTGTAGATAGAAAGCTGAAATTTTATATGCATATAGATCTTTCCCAAAAACTTATTTACGTAGAAGAAATTTTTTACTTACCACCCCCCACCCCCGCTCCTCTCTAAATGTTATAACCCACAAAATGGTAATTAAGTGTATGTAATCTTTGAACTAGTTTGATCTATGAATTTAAAAGTAATAATTCAATAACGTAGTAAAAAGATTGTTTTAAAAAATTGCTGAAGGGAAAAGTTCTACATTACAAACCATTGGTTTGACTCAATTTTATCAATCGTTTACATATTACATTATAAAAGTTATACAATGTCATATAACGTTATAAATTTAAATTGAGAGTGACTTTTCAATGACAACGTTATACTGAAGACAGGTGTGGGTATTTTTAAATACTCCATTCGCAATTTTAACTTAAAACTTAAATAATTTTATAATAATATAAAGAGTTTTATGGTTAAAGCTCTGAAACTACTACTTTAACTGTAAAATTTTTAACATTCTGAGATTTATGAAATCTTTCATGTCTGAAGATACGGTTCAGATATGCCGCAGAATATATCAGATCTGTGCAACCGTCCGGTTTCACACTTTTGATTATTAAGAAAATTATTTAGCACATTTGGAATTTTATATATAAAGTCTGCCCGGCAATACATCAAAAGGGAACTAGTGGTAGCAACTAAATTTTTATTTAACTTTTCAACTTATATACGGCGTATATATATGTGTTTCTGAGCTACAGGCATGTCAGGAAAATTTGGTGAAATGTTAACATATCTTAGTTTTTTTTGTTTATAGCTTCCGTCCCGAAATAGATAGAAGTTTCAAATACTCATTTCCCACTATCTACCCCATGGTATATAGCTCCTAACGATGTTGCTGAATTACTCTATATATTTTAATTCTTTTATAAATTTTTCAAATTTTCCTAAAATTTTAGATAAGTATTATTCTAACCATTAACGTATTTTTTCTAAATTTACTTTTATTCTTTATGTATATATTTACTTGTATAATATTTAGATATAATTCAAAAAATACAAGTATAATGTGATCAGTTTTGTGATGATCTTTCAAATTTTTTTAATAATGGAGTGAATCCAAAATTTCTTAAGTGTACCATTTAAGCACATGCACAAATATTCAAAAATAACTTATGAGTTTTATATCTCTTATTTTGACAAAAAAGTAATGGTTGAATTTTTATTGCGAAATTTGTAAAGTAAGACTAAAATTCAACATGACAAACTTGAAAATTAAATTGTTTTAGTTTTGAAAAAACTCTTGTTGTTATTTTCTAATTTATTATCTTAACTTAAAAAACCTGAAATGATTTCAGACATGTGGAGTAGTATGATTTTTAGAAGCTCCTCTGTGTTATTCAAAAATTTATGAGCTGAGAACTTACGCAATAGTTATTCAGCTTATAAGCGTCTCTAATGTAATTCCTGAGCTTGCATATTTTATTTTCTAATCTGTATAACCACCCATAACGCATTTTTAAGTTCTAATAAGCATGGAAACTTTAAACTTTCTTTCATTGGACACAT